AATCTCTTGACGGATATTGCCAAAGTTCACGCGCTCCCAGGTGCTCAGGTCTCCAGCCACTTGCTCGAGTTTGTCGTGCAATGATTGAGCGGAATCAGCTGGCCCTCTTTCCCAACCAGCACGCACTGCCGTCGCCAGGGATTCCTCCCGCTCCCAAGCCAACTCATATTTAAAGGCGCGAGGGCCCCGGCTGCATGCATGCACGTTGCGTAGCTTCAGTAGTATGGGTACGTGATCGGACGACGCCGCCAGCTTGTGCTCTAAGACAGCAGATGGGAAGGCAATGCTCCAAGCCGGATTCGCCACTGCCCGATCCAGCCGAACTCTCGTAAAAGTCCCTCCCGTCACCTTCTTATCAAAGGTCCAGTTGGTGCCCCGTGTAGCCAATATCTGATAAACCACAGGTGTCTAGTGTATCCCGGAATCCATCCATCTGAGCCTGGCTCCGCATCCCCACTCCATCATGCTCATGTCCGTGAAGCACTTCGTTGAAATCACCAAGTACCACCCACGACAAGTTTGAAGATCCCGCAATACCTTTTAGAGTGTTCCAAGTATTGTACCGTTCACTCACTTGAGCTTCTCCATAAACAAAAGTCACTCGGGTTTGAAAGTCAAAAAGTTCGCTCACCAATACATCAATGTGGTATTTCGAGTACCCCAAAACTTCAAGCTTTATTTCATCGTTCCAAAAAATTCCAAGGCCACCGCTTTTACCAGAACTACTAACCGCAAAACTCTTATTATAACCCAAGTTTACAGCCATATTCTCCACCCTGGAGCCCTCGATTTGAGTTTCAACAATACATAATATCGAGGGGGCAAGTTGCCTCGCTAGATCGCGAAGCTCACGAACTGTCATGGGTTTGCCAGCCCCATGACAGTTCCAGCATAGATAACTCACTGCGCTCGGCGCGACTCCTCAAGGGAGCCCGCCAAACACGCATTAGGTGGGTTTTTGCTGCCTGTCAAAATCATGTGTTCCTTCTCAAACATCATCACTGTTGCCTTTGTTCTCTTTGGTTCTTGCTTTGAATCAGGGCTAGGAGGAACTGTCGGTGCTGGTAGAACTAGAAGCTGCTTTCCGGTTTTATCAAGGGTCGTTGCATTGTCTGGTAACACAGGATCCCCCACATGAGCTTGCCCCGATCCGCGCTTGCGATTATTTTCAGCATCCCTCATCAACTTATCGTCTAGTTGTGAGTTTAACTCCTCTCGATCCATCCTTTCCGAGCCGTTTCGCTAGCCCTTCCCACGTCCCGCGCCTCGTCCTCCATGGCCTCTGCCTCTGCCTCCTCCTGAGGAGTTTTCTGCACCCGGACCACGGCCCGGTCCCTTGAACCAGCTAGCCTGAAGATTTCTGAACACTAATGCCGACGGGGGGTGAATCCCATCGCCGCATTCTTTATACAAGTGCCCTAGCATGCCACACACCGTGCACCAATCAGGTAGCCTCTCATATTTCACCCTGAAGATCTCCCTCTTCCTTTTCACCACCAACGAGACCACGTTCTTTAGTGGTTTAGTGACATCCACTTTGATCCTAACTCTGAAGAAATTTCCTTCGAAGTCATGTGACTTGGGTTCGACATATATGAAATCTCCCACGGTGGCCGCCAGGGACTTTATCAACCCAAAGAAAAGCTCTGGAAGATCATGGATTTGAATCCACATCTCGATCTTGTTGAGTTCTATCGCTGATGGCCTAGTGATTCCATCATACGGCTCAATGATGACTGCCTTTCCCTTGAAAGTCCACGGTCCGTCCTCCATGACTCTTTCCCAGTCACCGAGGCAGGAGAATTGCAAGGTGTATAGATTTTCTTCGAGCGGCCAAAACTTTACCTCTTTTGCTAGATCCCAGGCAACACGCATGTTGCGATAAAACCAGTATTGGCTGTACTATTTGTTCGTGTTCACTCGGGCTATCGCCATCCATCGAGCCGCCTCTTCTGGGATGTCACCGTCTTGAACCACCACATCAATCAGATCATCCTCCTTCAACCCAAGCTCCTTCATCATCGCTTCCATCTCGCTCATCGCCGCATCAGACGCGGACGTCGAGCCCATCCTTCAGATCTCTTACCCGGAGAAAAACGCAGATTCCACGGGCGGGGAGGTTCCCTAAGCCAAAACCTTCCCAGCCACGCTTGCCAGACGCAGGGCGCCGGCGATTGGTGGGGGAGAGGCGGAGGGGATCGCGATCTCCACGTCGGTGCCGATGCGCCGCCAGGAGGAGAACAAAACCCTAACGAGAGGGGAGGGCGCCCGACAGGCACTTTAGCTGCCTCCAGATAGATAGGGTTCCCGAATATGAAGAGGCCGTTTTTTTTTGGTCTATATAGTTCTAACACGATGTTTATAGCTCTGAGCCCATAATCTTGGTGGGCTCATTTTGAACCAGACCCCAGTCGTCTATTTTGGGCCACTCTGTCTCTAAAAAGATACGTACGTACTGTATAAGTTAATTTGGACCGAGCCGTGGGGCCTACAAAGCATCATTAAGCGGGTAAACTCCACAATAAGCGAGGGGCTTTCCTGCAAAACGCTGGCTAAATAAGAATCTCGCGCAGAGACGTATCCACGCCCTCCTCCCACCTCCACCTACTACGCCCTTCAATTCCACCGTTCCGAGGCGGCGTCTGCGTCTCATCCCCCCATCCCCCGTCCCTCTCGCTGCCCCCAGCCCGGCGACACACCCACCGCCGCGCCACCGTCGGATTCGCCCCCTCCCCCCTGCCCGCCGGTCCGATCGCGCGGAGGAAGATGCTGGGCGCCGCGAGGAGGCAGCTCGGATCCGGCCCCGTGAGCGCCGATTCCCTTCCCCCGCATCGCATCTCCCTCCGATCATTTCCCCACGTTCCCGTTCGGGTTCGATCTACGACGCGGTTGCTGATGACGGGTTCGCTGTTCCGTTTTTTCCGTGCAGATGCTGGGGCAGGTGCTGCGGAGGCTCCGCCCGGCGGCGGCGGCGTCCACGGAGGCGGCAAGGGGGTACTCCTCCGCGGCCAAGGAGGTGAGCGCGTGGCAGAACCCTAGATTTTTTTAATCGCGCGCGCCGCATTGGCCTGTAATGACGTGGTCTGCTCTCGCTCGATTGTGTCGTTTCGTTATTTGACGGGCTGTTTTGACTCGAGATCGGCTGCTGATTAGTTATATTACATCGATGGCGTTGGCGATTACGACTTTTGTTGCTGTTATTTATTATAATAGTGGTGGTGACACAGCGATTGTTTTAGTTTGGTGCCGAGGCGGGTGGTTGGTTATGATATTAATTCGTTATTTTATTATATGTAGTTTTGTCATGATGTGATGAACTTTGGTTTCGGAGGCTGTTTGATAACTACTTTTAGCTTTAACTAGTTTGATTATAAGTACCTTAATTGTATTACGTATCTCTACTGTATTTCTTTGGTTGGCAAAAAAAATGGCTGTTGTAATGTTTCGGTGGTTAGTGGCTATCTTAGAATTGATGTCACCATTGTTTCCTACGTATTAGATTGCTGTGGGCCTGTGACTACCTGCTGATGGGAGTTGTATGGGCTGTAGAGTCGAAGCATCGGCCGGTTGCTTTATCCTTAGTGTTTGTGTGTTTGACAATTTATTGTTGCAGAGCTTAGAAGATGAAGTGTGTTTGTTATTGCGAGGAAAGATGAATTGCCTTTGTGGTTTGGCTTGCATTGAAGTGATATTTTCTTTACCTTCATGACGGTAGACTTCCTCATAGATCAGAAACCGCTTATTTGACTTTAGTCGTTCTGCTTGGGGTTCATATATCATGTGACTTAATTTGGCAAGACATTCTCCTAGTCCTTCTGAAGGACTGGAGTATCACCAAAGAACTAGCCATGGACAGGGGTGCATGGAAGCTTGCTATCCATGTGCCAGAACCATGAGTCGGTGGCGAGTTCTTATGGGCTTCACCTCTAGCCTACCCCAACTTGTTTGGGACTAAAGGCTTTGTTGTTGCTGTATTCTCCTATTTGCAAGATGTTAGTTATTTACTTTGCTTATGAAGCACTGTTTATACAGCTCTCCTTCAATATTTTTTCTTAAGATGTGATATTACTGAGTGACCATGTGTCCATAGTATAGCTGGCCCAACAGGCCGGGCCAATCAGTCCAGTCGACGAGCATGCCAGCACGGCCTGCCATGGGCCAGGACGGCACGGGCTAAACGGGCCGTGCCCGGCATGCGGCACGCCGGCTGGGCACGCGGGTCAACACGGCACGGCCCGTTTATTACTTATTATTTTTTCCAGATTTTTTTATATATATGACCAGCTGGCCCGTGCCCTGCCGGGCCGGCCCATTTGGCCAGCTCTGGCCCATACCTATGTCAATGTATTGGCACTATTTCGGAGAATATCCACCTAGTGATTAACATTATGCAAATGCATTTTACACAATATATTCCTTGCATTGTTCTTCACCTTTAACTGCCATTCTTCGCTATTACTTGAGTACATCAGAACGAGTGTCAGTGAAATTGGGTAACAGTGGTCATTGGTGTGATTGATTTTGTATGTTATTGCCTCCTTCTATGTTTTTAAGGCGACGCCTTACCGCCTTAGGGAGGGGGGACGCTTTGGCGCCTAGGCGACGCCTAGGCGGGCGCTTTGGACGCCTAGGCGCCCAAAGCGGTCGATTTTCCAAAGCGGAAGGGGAGCGCTTCGACGCCTAGGCGTCGCCTTAGGGACGCTTTAAAAACATAGGCCTCCTTTATCCTTTGGCCGCTGCGGGGAATAAAGGATGGTTCCTGGACCAACCAGCACATGTTTGTTCCCAGTTCTGTGTGGTCAGATATGTTCATTTTTATGCTGAAAGTATATAGGGTTATATCGAGAGTTATCTTTTGAGAAGTGTTTGCTGATTGGAAAAAAGGGAAAGCTGCATTCAATTGCTCTGTTGTACAACTTACAAGGCTAGTGACATACAATACTGTTTTACCTGTTCAGATCACTGTACGTGACGCGTTGAACTCTGCCCTAGATGAAGAAATGTCTGCTGATCCTTCTGTCTTTTTGATGGGTGAAGAGGTAACATTTTGAATGAATTTTTTTTTGTTCTTTTAGTAGCTTCTTTTTTCTAACGCCTCTTCGTTTGTGGTAGGTTGGAGAATATCAAGGTGCATACAAGGTGTGCAAAGAATTATTGTTTTTGCTGTAGGCCCCTTGTCAGCTGATATCAAATTCTAAATTCTATGGTTATTGATGTTCAATTGGTTTTCTGCAGATTACGAAGGGCTTGCTTGACAAGTATGGTCCTGATAGGGTTCTTGATACCCCAATCACTGAGGTTCCACTCTTACATTCTTCAAACAATCCAATTGCTGCTGTCCGTCCGTACATTTTCAGACTGAAACAATTCTGTTGAAGCATTTATCTGGTATTGTTATGTTTGTCCAGGCTGGTTTTACAGGCATTGGTGTTGGCGCAGCTTATCAAGGTCTTCGGCCAGTCATAGAGTTCATGACATTTAATTTCTCAATGCAGGTCAGTTATAAGGACCAAATAAATTTGTTTTATTTGCCTGGTTTAAAGTCCTTATGCACATAGATTTTATGCTGCAATGCCTGTTGATTCAGATGCAAGTAGCACTCATGCTTCATGCTTTTGTATCTTGAACCAACTTAACACATGCTGCACTTCTGTGTTTTCCCTAGTATGAGAACGGCTCATGCCTTAAAGCATTGCACGGTTTAGGATAGTCAACTTAATGCATGTAATCACTTCTCAAGTAACATATGTTATTGTACATTACCACACTTAGTAGCTCGATCCTCGATGTAAATGCAAGCTCTTATTAGTTACTAGCCTTTTTTCTTGCTAGTTTTCTAAAGAAGCACTTTGCTGTATACCCATTCTGATTATATTTGCTATGTGTTTACAGTCGTGTAGTTATATATGGCTTGCCAATGGTGTTGCCAAGATCCTAGTTTGATAGTGAATCTTCTGAAGATGATGTTAATTAGAGGTTTTCTCTGGAATAATTTACATAGGATATAGCTTTTATGGTTGACATTCACATATCTGCTTTTCTTGCCAGTTAACTTTTTGGAAAAATACAGTGGATGTAGTTTGAATCTCTGGTAGTCTGAAATACAATGTTGTCAATGTATAACATAGTATTAACCATTAATGGTTATTTCCATGTACTATAAAAATAAAGGTGATCATTATGCATGCTTTACTCGTGTGGCCGACAGGCAGTTCGTCACTAGTTTTTTCACTGCAACACAGGTCTACCTCTGTATCAGGCGTTCCTTTTTCTGTCATGTGATTTAGAATGTACTTTTCCATTATAACAACTGCACATTTCCATTGTTTATGCTGTAAGAAAAATAATTAATAATTTGTAACATTCAGGCAATCGATCATATCATCAACTCAGCTGCCAAGTCAAACTACATGTCAGCTGGTCAGATAAATGTCCCAATTGTTTTCAGAGGACCAAATGGTGCTGCTGCTGGTGTTGGTGCTCAACACTCACAGGTTTGTAAGAGGGAATCACTCATGTGTCAGTTCTTCTTAGTACTCAAATAATTTTGAAACAAGTAGCTTTATTTCTTTGTTATGTTGTTGCCACCTGCTTGTGCTTGTTTCGAGAAGATACAGTAGACATGCAGACCTCTTTGCTATACTAGAATAGTAACACCAAATATACTAAATGATGACTTTCTTTTTAGAAGTCGATATAACTCCCTTGCCAAAATGGTTATGCAAGGTTTAGGGAGGTGTGTGTGTGTGTGTAAGCTCAGATGGTTGTGTAGAGTTTTCTTTGATTTTAAGCCAACAGACCTAAATTATCATTTTGCAAGTTATTTATCATTAGCTATGTATGCAAAGTTAGTTTACTACCAGCTCCTAGGATATGCCCAATCCATGTTCAATACATCGTGGTGGCATCTTTTTGTAAACACTGAATGATTGTGGTGTTTGCACTGTACTAATTGAACTGGTATACAGTGTTATGCAGCTTGGTTTGCGCATGTTCCAGGACTTAAGGTTCTGGCTCCATATTCTTCAGAAGATGCCAGAGGCTTGCTAAAAGCTGCAATTAGGGATCCTGATCCCGTTGTTTTTCTGGAAAATGAATTACTGTATGCAACATCTGACCTTGTTGAGGTATTCATACTTTATAGCTGCATGTTATCATTTCATTGAGATGTTATGCTTTTTTTCTGCAGCTATGGAGAGTCATTCCCTGTTTCTGATGAAGTGCTTGATTCTAGTTTTGCTCTGCCGATTGGCAAAGCTAAGGTATGCTGTTCTGTGCATGTGTTTTGAAAGAAATTTCTGATGCATTCCCTGCTTTTAAGTCCTTGACGATTTCCTGTTGTTGGTTTCAATGAATAGGATTGAAAGCAACAACAGAAAACTGACCTCTATGCAGTATGCACTGCTTTCAGAGATCAGATGCATGCTCTTAGATACTTACTTTTGGGATATAATTACTGAAATTCTTTGCAGTATGTACTTACCTGTGGATCACTTCTTTCTGTAGATAGAACGCGAGGGTAAAGATGTTACGATTACTGCATTCTCCAAGATGGTCGGCTATGCTCTTCAGGTGCGTCTTGCTATAGTTGGTAAAACAACGTGGGAGGAAGATGAATTTGCTGTGTTGTCTTTTTTTTTGCGGGGGAATTTGCTGTGTTGTCAACCTTATAGGATTTGACAGCTTTCGTTTCTCAAGGACGTCACATTGGCACGTCTTCTTTTCTGAAAGGAGTTCAATGTGCTACATTGATATGCTTATCCTATTCGATAAGTTGATATGCAAAGTGCCCTTATCGGAATTGCGGTTTTCTTTTGTATTTTGTTCTAACATAGGGTATGTTCTGTTGATGGGTTGAATTACTCTCCCAGCATTTTTATGTTGACATATGATAACACTCTGTTTGTTTACAGGCTGCTGAGATACTGTCCAAGGAAGGAATCAGTGCTGAGGTGATTTCTTTTGTAAATTATATTTTCAGTGTAACTATCGATATGATTTTACTCTACATAATACATGCCTTGAATGCTTACTTATTTTCTGTACTGATATGTTTCAATAGGTGATCAACCTTCGATCAATTAGGCCACTGGATAGAGCCGCCATAAATGCATCTGTTAGGAAAACAAATAGATTGGTGACTCTTGAAGAAGGCTTCCCCCAGCATGGTGTTGGTGCTGAGATATGGTTCTCTTTCTCTCCCCACCACATAAACAACTTGTGCAGTAAGAATTATTTTAACACATACATGCCTTATTTTGCAGCATGTCTGTTGTAGAAGAAAGCTTCGAGTATCTTGATGCTCCAATTGAGAGGATTGCTGGAGCTGATGTACCCATGCCCTATGCTGCCAACCTTGAGAGATTGGCTGTTCCACAGGTCCTGCAACATCTTTTTCTCTTTGATCCATTTTATGGCTTAAACTTTCAAGTAGTGTTGTTTTGCATGGCTGCTAGCTTTTCTAGTTGCATCCATTTATTTTCTTCTACACAACTGATTACTATAGATGTTTGTTCAATCATTTAATTTTTGTGTTTGGGCCACATGCATGCATTCTTGCTGACTTAAATGGCAATAGACTAGCTGAAGCTATTGTTGTAGTACAAGTTGGATTTTCTTTGGTATCATCTGAATGGATTGCACTATCCTGGGAAAGTGCAATAGAAAATCCAGAACCAGCAGGGATTAGGGAAAGTAACTGTTTTAGTTCATACTACTTCATAGTGAGGGTACACTGTACATGGAGGTTTGGTTGCATTTGAGGCATGTTGAGTATTGGGGAATATTCGAGATTCAACTTATTCTGTCATCTTTCTTTTGGTTCCCTGTCAGTTGTTGGAATTACCTACAAAAATTGGATCCATGCAAATGTCATGCAGTGTATCTGAAATTGTAGTGTGTCTACACTCAGGTTGCTCAATTTGCATATATCCTTTTCACTGGAACTATCAGATGTGCATGGTTATTTGACCATAATTTTAGAAGCATGTGCCACACATATTTCCATAATGGGAGACAACAGTACATTGTCATCACCAGCATTTTTCCACATCCTAAATCACTTGCGGAATTTTGTCTGCCACCCTGTTATGCCTGGAGGTGTCCCTTCATAATTTTAAGTTGGTGATTCTCCGCCCTGTTGTCTAGCTGTGGACACCAGGTGGTGGCCTTTCTGGTCAAGGTGGTCACAGCATCAGTATTTATTTGCTTTGTTTGTAATGCTTGATGTTTAGCGCGTGAAACTGGGTTTTGCATGACTCAGGCGGCATTTAGTGGTCCAAAGTTGCATTGCATCTCTGGACTCGCATTATTGGCGAGGGTGTATTTGGTCTGGGGCTCCATTGAAAAGGGAAGCCTAAATATTCTGTCTGCCACCAAATTCTTTCTGGCTTTCTGTACTGCAAACATAGGGCCGTAAAATGTTTTGATGTTATTGGAGTTAGCAATCAGAAGGAAGCAATAAAACATGCTTTCCTGTGTACTTTTCATGACCCATCTATCATTTTTTTATTAGCTGATCATCTTATTAATGTGACGAGCCAAACTTACTCTTGTTCTTGTCCTTGCAGATCGAGGATATCGTCCGAGCGGCCAGGCGAGCCTGCTACAGAGCGTTGCCCATGGCGGCAACTGCGTGATCGAATTTTCACTTTACTTTGCCGCTTTTTCCCGTCTCCCGCCCGGCCAGAAACGTGTGTGTTCCATAATGGTATCCACAATTGCCCAAACTCAAAGCGAGTTAAATTTTTGTAGGTGTGCCTTTGCCATGTTATTTTTTTAGCTGCAGTCGGATCTCACCGCACTCGCTGGTGCCTCCCTCCACTGTCTTGTGAATTATTACGCTTGCAGCTTTGGTTGATTGATTATTACTACGGCCTAATCATGGTGGTTACATAAATGGAAAACTGAGGTGTTGTCGTGCTTGTGCCATGTTCTTCTTTCTCTCGTCAAAGCCTATCGCCTCGTGTATCTTTGAAAGACCATTTTTTCCACCAGTCGTGGCTCGTGGATTTGAACAGCTTCACCCTGGAACCTGGATGCACACGCACGGGAACAGGTGATTGAGTCGCCGTCATAAAAGGGCGAGACCATCCTTCGCTCGTGCTAATAATAATCGGCCGCGACAAGCTTGGTTGCTAACTAACAGATCCAGTCAAACGTAGCGTAGCGTAGCGTCATAATTGAGCACCGATCCGGCGATAGCCCGTGAGCATCACTTTAATACTAAACCAGTCCTATTCTTGTTGATAAAATATCTTTGAACAGCAACCCTTGAAAGATACATATGCTAAAAGGGGCCATTGCGTCCGCGGAATCTCTCTCTCTCTCTGGCTTGGACCAAAAGGCCGGTCACTCGAGCGGCGTGACGCTCACTCACTCACACGAGACGCACAGAGGCAGCTCACGCAGATCCCACCTGCATAGCCTAGCAGTGTCTCTCAGCCCGCCTGCTTGCTTTGGGAAAACGCCATGTTTGACCGGAGCGAGGACCGAGCTAGAGCTACAGTGCTAGTACGACACTGCAGGCAGCAAGCAAGCAAGCAACAGGTAAACAAAGCAAGCAAGCAGTACTAGTCCAGTCGGACCAATTAGACAGGCAGAGGAAAGCGGCAGCACCCAGACCTTACCCAGGGATAAACCCAGGGCTAAAAATAAGATAAAGACACGCAAGTATAGCCGCTGATTGATGGCTCCCTTTGACCAAACAAAGACCGGACCTGAGGCGCCCAGCACGAAATCGAAAGCTTCAAAGCAACCCACAAAGGGGCCATTAAAAAAAAGGTACCCTTGAAACAGTTCAGTTCGCGGAGAAGAATACGGATGGAGGACTAGTATAGAGCACTAGTCGCGGTAAAAAAATAATAATACTAATAATAAAGGAGCCGCTCGCGCCTCGGCCTCGGCTCGGCGGAAAAACAATTCCCCATTCCTCTCCACTCTCCGCCTCCCCTCCCTCAGTGGCAGACGCTAGTGCTGTGGGTGTGTGGGGGCGCTACAGCTAGGGTTCCGCTCCCCGAATCCGTCGCCGCGGCGCTGCCTGCCGGGATCTGCTGCTGCTGCTTCGGGGGCTCGGCGGCGGTTGATCCGGCGGGGGCGAGATGAAGTCGTCGCTGCGGAAGCTGCGCGGGTTCGCGCTGCAGCGCCACGAGCAGCGGGTGGACCGCCACCGCGACCACTCCACCGCCGCCAAGGCCGCGGACGAGCTCCTCGCCGCCGCCCAGGTGCGTCCGCCTTCCGCCGCTGCGTCTCTCGCTTCTCCCTTTCCCTCCGCCGCCCTGCCGCGTGGAGTGTGCGCGCGAGCGGCGCCTGGGGGTGGACTGTGCGGGGGGAGATCTCGCGAGGGCAGGAGCGGCCGCGCGCCTGGTTTTGCTTTGCAGGCCGCGTCCGCGAGCTCCTCAAGCTGTTTAGCGCGTTCGGGTGTCCGGGCGGTTGCTTCGCGGTGCGGCTGGCGGGGCAGGCGTGGGTGTGGCGCCATGGCCTGCCCCCCCACACCCCCACCCAAGTGCCATGTCAATTGCCTCGGGATTTCGCTCCCTGGTGGAGTGCCATGGGGTGCCACCGTTCGGATCTGCGCTCCATTTCAGCAGGAACGGTTCTGGGAGACTGTCTAAGCGTTGATCGAACGGTAGTGACCGACGAGCCCGGTGTTGTTTTCTAGTCCAGTCCTAGTAGTGTGTAATGCGTGAATTGGTTGGTTACTGGGTCGGAATCTGTTGTGAGTTCTAGATCATCGCATGCTCTCATTTGCTTTGTCGTCAACAACGTTTAATTGTAGCGTATTGAGATTTTCCTTTGGTCCGCTGTCGGTGTGGTAATTTGGGCTTGTTTCAACTGAATTTTAGTGCTTCATACGGAGGGGTGATTTGCGATTGGGTTTTGGCGCCTCTTGTTTGGTTGATAAGCAAACCTTTGCTTACTTTGTTCAAGCATATGTGAATTCAATTGAGTGACTATATGTGCAGTATTACCCTTGAGTTAGAAAAAAAAATAGCATCTGAGAACTTAGCTGCTCTAGTCTGGTGGCTAACAGGCCCTCATGATTAAGGCCCATGATTAAACTAGGGTTGTTGTTTTATATCATTTGGTTGTCAAAAATCTCGTTGGCTATGAGAAGAGACTTCCGCATTCCCAAGTGTCGTTTTTTTCAAAATGAAACTGCCGACTATTCTGAATAATGAAAACAGTGGATTGTATTTGGTCAAATTTACCAGCAGTAAAACCTAGTTTACATTCCAAACAAGTTGCTTCTGCTAAAACTCTGAACTTGTCGCCGTGTTAAGACTTAAGAGCAGCTTCTGTAGCAACATATTTCCATCTTTGTTTCACACTTCTACTTTACTTTTAACAGGATATGGCAGATATGAGGAACTGCTATGATAACTTGCTTGCCGTTGCAGCAGCAATAGCAAACAGTTCATATGGTATTTTTCTTGTCTACCTTTTCCCTCAGTCTTTACATTTTAGTGTCTTGTTTATCCCACTTTACAGATTCTATTGTACTTGGTGCAAATATTGTGTTGATCGTTTCCTGCGAGTAATTAGGTTGGTATATGAATGGTAGCCGCCCTTCTTCAAATGTATGGAAAATCTTGTGTTGAAGTTTATCTATTTTTTTGGTTGACTACGAGAGCTTGTATGAAAAGAGATATCATGGTTATTTATTTATCAGCACAGAGTACACTATTTTTAAAATTGCTGGGTTGTTCACCATATTGAAATTGTGCAACCTCAGTTCATTTGCATTCGTCAAGTGTTATCATCTACTCCTTCCGTTTCTAAATATAAGTCTTTTTAGAGATTCAATACGGACTACATACGGATCTATATAGACATATTTAGGGTGTAGATTCACTCATTTTGCTCCGTATGCAGTCCATATTGAAATCTCTAGAAGGACTTATATTTAGGAACGGAGGGAGTATATGACTTCATGTGTTAAGGTTATAGCAGCTACAGTTATATGTATATCTGACTATGTACTGAATGCCAATAATTAGTTGATGACTTGATATATGTGTGCAGAATTCTCTGAAGCACTACAAGAAATGGGGACTTGTTTACTGAAGAGAGTTACACCAACTAAAGATGGAATTAATGGTAATCATGCTGTGTATTCTTTTCCCATGTGAACTTGTTTGTTTAAGTTCAGTTACATGCTTAGGGTCAGTTATGATGATAGCATTTAGGATTCTAAACTAGCCTTGCTCTGCACTCCCAGCTCTAAAATATCTCTTTTAGCTACATCAATTAAGTTCTTCAAGGAAAATGTGGAAGTGAAGTAATGCAGATTCTTTACACTAACCATCTTCTCTTGCTAGTCAGTACTCAGTAGTACAACTTCTCGCCCTCTCTCTTTTGCAAGAAAGCACTCACTATCACCTTAATGTTATTGAACATGCAATATAACTTTTGGTTGTTTCACACTTTGCCGCTTGATGCTTACATTTAACAGTATGCCCCCAGATAAGGTTTTGCTGTTGCTCGGGAAATCGCAGTTTGAGCTTCGGAAACTTGTAGATAGTTATGTAAGTTTCTAGTTACTCATATTTATTAAAGCTGCAGGATTACTATGATCTTCTAGTGCTGATTTGTTTCGTCATCTTTTCCCCAGCGTGTTCATGTTCTTACTACCATTACCACTCCATCACAGTCCCTACTTAATGAGCTTCAAACTGTAGAGGTATGGTGTTGTTTATGTGCATCTCTCTATAGCACTCATGCCCTTTTCTTTATGGTCCTTGAGCTCAGTAGATCTTCTTTGGCCCATAAGACACAACCACAACAACAACAACAACAAAGCCTTTCAGTCACAAACATTCTTCTCTAATACATTTTAATTTTGAAATAAAATCTTAAAGAGTACTAGAACACTCTGGACACTATGTCAATAAAATCTTAAAGGGTACTAGAACACTGTGGAGTCTGGACACTGTCTTGATACTCAAAAATAGAAAGTTGTTAGCATGCTTTGCTCCTGCTGGTTGCTCGGAAAAAAAGAAATAAAGTTGGTAGCATGAGGTTGCCTCAAAGGATGACTGCATATCATACCTCAAGGGGTGACTGCATATCATATGAGACCTTCATTAGAAGGTGTTATTAAGCATACAAACATGGTGCTACACATGCATCGTATGAAAAACATGGCGCTACACATGCATCGTACGAAAAACACAGTGCTACACATGCACCGTACGAAAAACATGGTGCCACACATGCATTGTCAAATTTGTTGACAGTTCAGTTCTTTTTCTTCTTATGTTCTTATGACGCACTCTTATGTAAAATACTTAGGGTATGTCTATCCTGGCTAAAGTGTCGTACCCTACCAAATTTTGTTGATGACCCAAAAAATGGTCTTTGCTTCGAGGTTTGCCAATTATTTGGCATGCCAATGCACTTTGCCAACTCTAGTTCATTGTTCTTGCCAATGTTGGCCAACTAAAACTTCAACCAAAAGTTTGGCTAGCCAAGGTTTTGGTGGGACAACCTTGGGCATAAACCAAACACACCATTAATGTAGTAATCATTTATTTAAAGAATTTTAATATTCATAGTTTGAAGCCATTAGAGAGCTATGTCTCTGTTCCAGGAGGAAAAACACTTACCTAGCAGAGATTGTTTCATTGCAGGAAATGAAGCGACAGTGTGATGAAAAAAGGTATGATGCTTATACAAATTGTGGCTTACACTCGTACCCTGCTGAGATGATGTTTAATTACTCCATACTCCTTTCAGAGAATTGTTCGAAGTCTTGCTAAATGCGCAGAAAGAAAAGGGAAGATCTAAGAATTCCAAAGGTGATCCTGCTGCATCACAGCAATTGAAACAAGCTCAGGAAGATTATCAAGAGGAAGCAACTCTTTTTCTGTTCCGGTTAAAGTCATTGAAGCAAGGACAGTTTCGAAGTCTTTTCACACAAGCTGCTCGGCACCATGCCGCCCAGGTGCACATTTTATCACTCGGAGAGGTTCCTCTTTTATTTTATTTGTCACATTCTTCAGAAACTCATATTGTACAATCTTTTATATATTTTGTGTGGACCAGTTAAATTTATTCAGAAAGGGTGTCAAGTCTCTTGAGGCTGTGGAGCCACATGTTAGGCTTGCTGCCGAGCAACAACACATCGATCATCAGTTCAGTGCACTTGAAGATGAGGATTACTCTGTTGAAGATGAAAATGATGACGATTACAATGGCAGTCATGATGGAGAACTCTCTTTTGATTATGGAGAAAGTAAGGAAACTGCAGAAGCTGGTCATGCTTCCCGTAGTCCTACAGAGGTACTAATATAGCTTTGTAATTTAAGCATAGCTAAATGTCAAACTGAAGAATTTGCTGTTATGTTTCTTGATGTGGCATTTTTACAACTGTTTCACTGAACTTGTGAAACTGTGCTGCTTCAAGTATCTTGGTAGTTACTCCCCCCGTCTCAAAATCTAAGACTTTTTTGACACGTATTTGCTATCTCTGAAAAGCAATAGATTTTGTTATGAACTGAAAATTGGTATGTCACTCCATGTGTCGAATGTGTTGAAAAGATCTAAATAGGTAAATGCCACCACATATCTAAATTTCCTCACATACAGCTTATTGCGCTTGTTAGAGTCGTGGTCGGTGCTCTTAACTCATGTCACTGTCTGTATACTGGATTTGGTTTGTGCACATCTTAAAATTTTCATTTAATTTTGTCTTGTCTTGTCCAACATATTCCAGTTTGTTTCGTCGACTGTTCCTCCCCTGTGTTCACTATCTTGAGAGTCCGCCATCTGACTTTCTTATTTTTGCAGGAATTTTTTGATAGAAGCAAAGGAGATTATTCCTCTTTTCCTGGTGAAAGACAAAGACCTGTAAGCCAGTCAGCTCCACTTTTTCCTGAAAAAAAGCTTGAGACAGCGGAAAGAGTAAAAGAGTTGCGGCGTTCTGCAACGAGGAAGATACATACTTATGTTTTGCCTACTCCAAATGATGTTCAAGCCACCTCTCAGACAGTCACAGGAAATCCTACAAGTGGATCTCCTATTGAGAGCAAAAGTGTTTTCCATTCATCTCCGCTCAACCCAAGCACACATATGGGAGAATTGAGAGACAATAAGCTACCAAGTCCTGCCAGATTATCTAATGCACAGTCTGTGCTGAAAGAAAGCAATACCAATACAGCAGAAATAAGGACAATGCTCCCAGCTGTTGATCCGGCTTTACCAGGCTATAACAATTTGAAGACTTCTGACAACAAAAAAGTGAAGAGGGGGTCCTTTTCTGGTCCGATTCCTCTCCGATCAAGGTCAACAGAGAATATTGATGCTGCCGCCGCAAGGCACAGCTCTGCACATCAGCCAACAATTCATGTGAGAGTATCACCCAGTTCCTCCCCGCCACCCATATCCTCACCCAGAATTAAGGAGCTTCACGAGCTACCGCGACCGCCCACTGGTGCATCAAGAAATACAGCATTTTCTAGTTTAGTCGCTCACTCTGCGCCGTTGGTACCAAATTCTGCCCTGTTGGCATCCAGAGGCCACGCAGGGCAGGACCATTTTAATTTTAGGGCCAGGCAAACACCACCAAGTGCTCCACAAACTGCATCGCCTTTACCAACGCCGCCTGGGCCTATATCCCGCAGTTTTTCTATACCTTCTAGGGGCATTAGAACAGGTATTTCAGATGGCAAAGAAACAGAAGATCATCAAGATAAGGGGGCTGCTAGAATGAGCCTCTCTTCTCTTCCTTCAACTCAAACATTCTTGGAGGATCGTCAACCTTTGCCAGCAGCTGCCGAGTCAGTTAGCAGAACATAGGGTGAGTATCCATTCTGTGTAGCGCTGCAGTCTGTTTTTTTGAACTGTTACCTTGCAGGATAAAATTATTCTTCCTGTTCATTATTCTTAACTAGAAACAGAGAAACACAACCAATATTGAATTAGCCCGAATGACTACTCTTAAATATAGTAATGAAGACTGCCCCTCGTGAAAGGGGACTAGAGATGCCATGGTGCAATTTAAGTTGTGGAAGTTTATATGCCTCTTCTCCATTGGCTTTGTTGCCTTGTTATGCACATAAACTAGTGAAGGGGGAACTAGATGCTGGATCATGACTCATGAATGTGCATGTACAAAAAGCTTGCAAGTTTTAGTGCCACAGTTGCTTTTGTAGTTCCATATGATATACTCCTTCATAGTTAAAAGTGCAGCTTTGCATTGTCCCATGTGGTTTCTTAACTACTTTTGAGTCAAAAATGTTGAAAGCTCTATTCAAGAAACTAATCTAAGCGCCCCCCCCCCCCCTTTTACATAGTAGCTGCTTGTGAAACACGACACGTGATAGCAGTGGCGGATTAACCTCACTCCCTATTCTTTTCCTGTGCAGGATATTTGGTGTTAAGGTGGGATTTTATATGATATATAATATGTCATGCTGATCGAGAGGCTTGGCTACTTTTTCGTGGAAAAACAATGTACATACTAGTATGAGAACTAAACCCATATTGCAAAGTAGCTGGTGGTGGTTGTGTCCCCTATGGTTGAGTGTAGTTGTGCAAATAACGAGTTTGTTGAATAAAATTCTCCATTTTTCAATCTGATAATTTTATGCAAGATTTGTCTGTGTTGTGCCACGGCCTGTTCTCGGGCATCATTTTAGTCATCATGATTGTCAAGGGGTTCCGGAATTTTGTCTCGGTGAAGTCATTTTCAAGGGAAGATATGAATAAATTGTCGCCAACTTGTTCGTGTTGTAGGATTGCTGTAAAGAAACTTGTTTTTCGTAGGGTAGGTAGATGTCCAATGGAACCCTTATATTTGATCTAGCCACATTAAACAAACTTTGCGGAGAGTTCCAGTGAGTTTATATCTTTATTAATCTGGAACATAAAGACCACAGCCAGTGTTATTGCTTTTTCCACGTTCATCTGTTTATGTTTGAAAGGTTGTATTGTCTTTTTTCAACCTACTCAAGCCCAAACCGTTGGGGTCTCGTCTTGGAGTACGAAGGCCCAGTTATGTTCCAATCTATAGCGTGTTTAGGTACAATGGTGAAAAGAAATGGGAGTTTAGTAGAGGATTAGTGCAAACACAGAATTGTCATGATAGCGCACTCTATTTTCTTTTTAATGTGGAACCTGTTTACCAGTGGCTAGAAGTCGTTTTCCTTCCCCACCTCAACATTAGAAGCTTTTCAACTCGGATTTCAACACGAATTTACATAATAGAGTTCAAGAAGGATCACAAGATAGATTTAACCTAATTTAATTACAGGCTCTTCATGACCTCGCAGACGGGGGAGGCTTTGGTTTTCCACCTCAACATTAGAAGCTTTTCAACTCGGATTTCAACACGGATTTACATAATAGAGTTCAAGAAGGATCACAAGATAGATTTAACCTAATTTAACTACAGGCTCTTCATGACCTCGCAGACGGGGGAGGCTTTGGCTGCAGCGACTTTTGCTGCCATGTGATTGATGGACGTATGTGCATCCTGAATGTGGGATATATCAACAGTTTTGAACGCCGGTATTAGCGTAGTTTCCATTTCTATGCATCTGGTCATCGATATGCAGTCGAAGCATTTGAGGGCGATGGAGTGGTGGGCGCAACTGACGGCTAAATGAACCTTGTGATGCGTGTCATCCTCGACCCACTCGAAGAAGTCCCACGCTCTCTCCGACAGCTCTCTCTCGGCGTGGTCCTCTTTGGTCTCGCTGGAGGAAGGCCCACGGAGAGGGCACGACCATCAACATGGTAATGAGGGAAGAGAGGGTGCGGGGTGGCGGCCGACGAAGGGGGCCGATGGGGGTGCTAGCGAGGGGATGGGAGAAGAGGTTGGATGTGGTGGCGCCGGTGAAGGGGACCAATGGGGGTTTATATACGCTTCGAGGGGACTTGATTTTTAGTCTCATATTAGGTAATCCTAGTAGTTTCTTAGGCATGGGAAGTTGATTTTTAGTCCAAGCCCATATCTGATGTGTGGTGCATCAAACAGGCTGAGCTTCAGCATCATGGCTACTTTTTCTTTTTCGAGGGGAGCGTGGTTTGTGTTGGGCCTGGTATAACTATGCATGTCCTGATGCCTCCAGACACCCCTCCGCCCGGCACGAGGCGTGAGGCGCCTCCTCCCTTTCCTTCTACCTTGTCTTGGCCCTTCTCTCTTGGTGGAGTTGCTGCAATGGAGGTGTGGTGGATGTAGATGAGACTTATGGAGGATGGAGATGGCTTCCTGCAGCGGCTAGGGTTGGAGATCTTCATATAGGAGGCCTCCTTGGATTTCCTCCGTTGATCTAGTTTCCTCCCTTTCATCCAAGAGCTCTAGAGGAGCCAAATCCACATCTAATACAACACATTGGTCATCAAGGATCCCGTAGGGGAAAACGGGGACAAAATCGATGAAAAATCTGAAAAGTTTTGGTCAATTTTGTGGCTCTCTGGAGCTCATACGAGCATCCATACGAGCGACTATGCTCGTATGGAAGGCTTCGTTCTCTCTGGACTTCAGGAGCTGTTTCGTATTTTGGTCACCATTTCTTCATACGAACTCCGATTTTGATGCTCTTGGGCTTGTTGAATTGCTAGCAAAAAGCCCGATGCGTCAGAGGTCTTGGATCAAACTCTCCAAAGGGCCTTGATCTGGTGCCTGGAACTTCTCTGGTTTGACCCCCAACTTGGTTCTTTTGATGTCCCAAGTCCATGAACATGTCAACACACCTACAAAGACCACAAAACAAAGAAAAACTAACAAAAACTAAATAAAAATAAAAGGTGTGCAACAAACTTGGTAAATACCAAGAACTATGCATTGAGGATATGCATAAGTGCTAGATGGATATGATATGAGGGAGTGCATAAAATCCACTCATCAACACCCCCAAACTTAAGCTTGCCCGTCCTCGAGCAAAAAAGTTGATAAACCAAAGTCATCCATCTAGCTCATCAATAACATTATTTCCCATAGGCGTATCCTTGTCTTCTCTGCAAGCTACAAGCAAGATAGATCAATACCATTGTTGCATTCAGCGCATTGGCTCCTCCTGTTCCACCACCACATCATCTACGTCTTCCTCATGAAGGCCCGATTCACTTATCAAAGCTTCCAAGTCCGATGCACCTCTAGAGCTTGAAGCTTTTTGTCGCCATGTTGAAAGTGCAACTATCCCTAGGTGGTTTTGGTAATTCCTAACAACATATAGCTCATTGAGCTAATGCTATTCCAAGATTAATATTTCAGGAAAAGCTCAATGAATGGCATGGCATGGATGAGGAAAGTGGACCCCTCAAAATACTAAGGACAAAAAGATTGGCTCAAGCTCAAAGCTCAAGACTCTACATTTTATATTTTAGTGATTCAAGATCACATTGAGCCTATAGGAAAAGCCAATACTATCAAGGAGGGACGAGGTGTTGCTTGATGATGTTCTTGCTTTATAATGCTTAGTGATATGCTCCAAAACCCTCAACTACCTTCCCACATCCACATATGACCTAAACCAAAAGTCAAACTCGGCCCTACAGATTCTTTCTATCCGGCGCCACCAAGTTCAGATGTCATAGCCACTGCCACAAACCCTAGGCAAATCGGTCTCACCGTTAGGGATCTCGGTCACACCGATATGGGGTTGTAATCTCTCTGTTTCCTTTGTAACGTTTCGGTCCTACCGAGATGAGCGATCGGTCCCACCGAGATTGCAATGTAAACTCTCTGTTTCCCTTTTGTAACATTTCGGTCCCACTGAAATGAGCAAATCGGTCCCATCGAGTTTACCTGACCAACTCTCTGGTTAGCTTATTACCAAAATTGGTCCCACCGAGTATGTGTAATCGGTCACATCGAGATTACGTTATGCCCTAACCCTAACCATATCGGTCCTACCGAGTTGCATCTCAGTCCCACCGAAAATCCTAATGGTCACTAGGTTTGCTAAATCGGTCCGACCGAGTTTCTCAATTCGGTCTCATCGAGATTGGTAAATTGTCTGTAACAGTTAGTTTTTGTGTGGAGGCTATATATACCCCTCCACCCACTCTTCATTTGTGGAGAGAGCCATCAGAACATACCTACACTTCCAATACACATTTTTCTGAGAGAGAACCACCTACTCATGTGTTGAGACCAAGATATTCCATTCCCACTATATGAATCTTGATCTCTAGCCTTCCCCAAGTTGCTTTCCACTCAAATCTTCTTTCCACCAAATTCATATCCTGTGAGAGAGAGTTGAGTGTTGGGGAGACTATCATTTGAAGCACAAGAGCAAGGAGTTCATCATCAACACACCATTTGTTACTTCTTGGAGAGTGGTGTCTCCTAGATTGACTAGGTGTCACTTGGGAGCCTCCGACAAAGATTGTGGAGTTGAACCAAGGAGTTTGTAAGGGCAAGGAGATCGCCTACTTCGTGAAAATCTACCGCTAGTGAGGCAAGTCCTTCGTGGGCGATGGCCATGATGGGATAGACAAGGTTGCTTCTTCATGGACCCTTCGTGGGTGGAGCCCTCTGTGGACTCGCGCAACCGTTACCCTCCGTGGGTTGAAGTCTCCATCAACGTGGATGTATGATAGCACCACCTATCGGAACCACGACAAAAACATCTGTGTCTCCAATTGCGTTTGAATTCTCCAAACCCTTCCCTTTACATTCTTGCAAGTTGCATGCTTTACTTTCCGCTGCTCATAGACTCTTTGCATGCTTGCTTGAATTGTGTTAAGATTGCTTGACTTGTGCTAAGATAGCTAAAATCTGCCAAAGACTAAAATTGGGAAAAGGATAGATTTTTAATTGGTCAAGTAGTCTAATCACCCCCCTCTAG